ACCTTATAAACAGCAGAATGAAACACTGTCCGATCCTGGACCAACCTCACTATTATTGCTACGCTTGAGCCCATTGATGCTGCCACTTTGTCAATCCATCTCATTGGTGGTCTTTCTCTTTTTCTCTGACCCTCCACCTTACCCAACATGATATCCTTCTCCAGTGACTGGTCCCTCCTGACAATATGTCCAAAATATGAGAGATGAAGTTTGGCCTTCCTGGCCTCCAAGGAGCACTGTGGCTGCACTTCTTCCAACACAGATCTGTAGGTTCTTTTGGCAGCCCATGTACTTTCAGTATTCTCCTCCAACACCATAACTCAAAAGCATCAATTCTTCTATGGGCTTCCTTACTCACTGTCCAGCTTTCTTTCACATCCATATGAGGTTATTGAAAATACCATTGCTTGGGTCAGGCACACCTTAGTCTTCAAGCTGACATCTTTGCTCTTCAACACTTTAAAAAGCTCTTGTGCAGCAGATTTGCCTAATGCAATACGTCGCTTGCTTTCTTGACTGCTGCTGGAAGCTCATCTGAAACCTGTCCACCACGGATGACCCTGCTGGTATTTAAAATACTGGTGGCATAGCTTCCAGAATCACAGCAACTCACAAGCCACCACAGTAGGACAAACTGACAGACGCGTGGTGGCTGATAAATACTTTTTTAAAAATTGCTGGTTACGATATGTATTGTTTAGTGCTGCCCCCTGCTGAAAGAGTACATTAAAACAGGGAAGGTAGCCTGTATCTTGGAAACCAATTTGAAATCCATCAGGTTAGATTAAGAAAAGCAAAGGAGGCCTCACCTGAGCACACTGCTTCACATGATCGCTTTTGAGTTTATGAAACTGGACCCTCACTCTCTAAGAGGAGAAGTTTTCCAGACAGAGTGACCAGAAGTATATATTGTGATGGAACAGAACCAGGGTTAGACTAGGATACTCCTTCAGTGCCCAGATATGGTGTGGGACAAGCTTTCTTCAACCAAACACGGCTATGCACGTGGCCATACTGTCCTTTGGCACACAACTCACCACTCACATCAGCAGCAGCCGGTGAACTCCAGCTGAGAAGAAATTCACACTTGCTTCCACAGTTGTTGTATTTCATGCTCATACCTTCTTTTCCTAGACATCCTACCCTATCATGGGAGAAGCAAGACCACCTTCCAACGGGTCAGTTTAAACTCCTTCTTTAGCCTCTACTGGGAGGTTCAGATTTGCATTGGAATCATGGCTATAAATGTAGCCACCATTCAAGTAATCCCCCAACTCCTGAGGTGGTTTCAGTTTCTGAGCTCTTCAGTAACCAACTTAGAAGACTTATTTATTCACAACTGTGATTCTTAACTCCTGAGCTGAGCCTCTAGGAGGTCATCCATCTAAAGCATGATAGAAAGCCCTAATGCCGTACTTAGCAACATTGACACCCAAATGCTTTTAAACCTGCTGAACGTTGTCATGTTGCTGTTGGTGGTGGTGTTAGGTGACATCAAATTGTTTCCAACTCATAGTGATCCTATGCACAACAGAATGAAACACTGGCCCATTCTGGCAGAATCATTTGTCAAGGAAGTGAAAGACCAGAGTTTGTGGCATTGTCTCTGCCAATGCTGAAATCATTCTAAGAAGTCCAACTATCGCAGGCAGGCTCAGATTTCAACTATGTTAGATCCCCTCTGATAACTGCTATCCTTGGGTCCTTTCCCAGATGTTTGGGTTTCTTGTGCTACACCGCTTCATTTACACTGAGCTCCAACGCTACTCATCCCCTACAATTACAACAGAGCCACCATCTACCACATCCTGATTAGAACTTGATTCTGGCCTCCCACACTCATCAGAGACACATTAAAGACTCTGGCCTTGACCCTGTTTTTTAAACTGGCTTCATCACTAGTTTCCTGAGCCACTGCAGGAGACAGATGCAACTCTTCCTTGGGATGCATGCCCCTGGGCACTCAAAATAGACCCCACACTTCCAACTCTTCTCCATAAGTTCATCTTCCTGCCCAATATCTCACTTTCAGTTGTCTTCAAACTTCAGTGTGCATCAGAATAATCTGGTTGGTGTGTTGTTAAGTATCTTTGAGTCAGTTCCAACACACAGCAACCCAGTGTAGGGTTTCCAAGGAGCAGCTTTTTTGAACTACCTTTTGGTTAGCAGGCCAGTGCTTATCCTACAGTGCCACGCCAAGATCTGGAGAAACAGCTAAAACATGCTGCTGGGCTCCACCCCAGACTTTCTGATTCCAGATGTCTGTGTGGGACCTGGGAATGTGCATTTCTAAGCTCCTAACTGATGCCATGCTGCAAGGACCACATTTTGAGGACTGGGGAACTACCACGCTTGTTCTTTTCTGACTTCACACAGCATAATGTGTTGTACCATTTTGCATTCCCACCAGCATTAGTGGTTGTTGTTGTTGTTAAGCACCTTTGAGTCTGTTCTGACTAATATCAAGCCTGTATAGGATTTCCAACCTTGGAGTTCAAACCAACCATGTGGTCCAGTGCTTATCCTACAGCACCATACCAGGACTCCAGCATTGATTAAGGGTTCCAATTTCTCACCAACATCTTTCCTGACACCATCATGGTTATTTATTTTTATCATAGTCATTGTAATGGTAATGGAGTGAAGTGTTATCTCATTTCAGTTCTGATTTGCATATCCCTAGAGTCAGAATTCAAAGATGTCAAGCATCTTTTCCTGTGCTTGTTGGCTATTTACATAGCCTCTTTGGTGAAATGTCTAATCAATTCCTTTGTCCCATTTTTTAAGTGGGTTGTCTCTTTTGTTGTTAAATTATAAATCTTTATCTATTTATTTGAGCAACACATGTGCTCTGTATAGAGAAAAGAACAAGAAGCAGTCTTTATAATCCTACTGCTCAGGAATACAAATTGTGAGCTTTTTTTAAAAAGAGCTAGTTAGCTATATCAAGTCCACTTTCTGGCCAGCTGAGTGAGATCAGCAGTGGTGGTGGGGATAGAGAGAGCTCCTAAAAAAATGTCTATCCTTATCCTTATCCAGAGAAGGTGCTGTTTGGTGGATGCTTTGCTTTCAAATCCTGAAAAGTATGTCTGGTCCCACAGGTGAACTAGGTCTATGGAAGAGGCAGAGAATTCTCAAAGGATTAAAATACTGAAATTCAACTGTTCCTTTCTCTAACTTCAACCTCTCATCATTCCAGTTCCTGCCTCCTCATCCAGACTTTGAACTCAGTGCACCCAGCTTTTCCTGTCCTCTGCTTTCTTGGGTGCTATGGTTAATTATATAAACTACTTTCTATTATCTTCACTTCTGTTATCCTGCTGCCTGGCAAAACAGAAAACTCAAATCAATGTTTCAGTTCATCCTTGCTATTATAGTCATGTTGGAGAAAAGAATCAAAGATTTAAGCTGATGCCCTGAGATGTGATATCTCACAACTCAGCAAGGCTTTCACCATATTTTCCACTTCATCTCCTGTTCCCATAACAATGACAAACTACATCCTGCACCAGACAGACCAAAGAGGAAGACGTTTCCTTTAAGGTTAACCGACTACTGTCCAGGGGGGTCCTGGTGTGGCACTGTTGGTTAATGCGCTGGACTGGAAAATTGGTTTGAACTGAAACGACCGCGTTGCTCCTTGGAAACCCTATATAGGGACGCTATGGGTCAGAACCCAACTCTATAGCACTTAACAACAACACTGTTGTCCAGTAGATTCTGACTCACAGTGACCTATAGGACAGAATAGAACTGAGCTTCATGGGGTTTCAGAAGCTGTAAATCTTTCTTCCCCAGAGCAGCTGGTGGGATGAACCACCCACCTTTTTCCAGTTAGCAGTCCAGTGCTTAATTCACTGTACCAGCAAGGCTCCTTAGTGTATATGGTTTGTTATTAGGTGCTCTTGAGCAACCTCTTGTCAGTGCAAAGGTTAGAAGTGCTGATAGAAAAAGGCAACTTTAAAATTCTATATTAAGTCAAGACTAAGAAGGAATTAAGGCTCTGCTTTCAGACTGGTCTGTTTACACACACTAGGTGCCTCTGATGCTTTATTCTCATGCAGGTGTATCCTTAAGCAAATGGTTTTTTAGGAAATAGGGTCTAAATACTGATTTACTTAGAGCTAGGAGTCCTGGTGTGGCGCTGTGGGTTAATGTGCCAGATTGCAAAGTCGTTTGAACTGCAAGGTCAGCGGTTCAAGCTCACCAGCTGCTCCTCGGAAACCCTATACAGGGTCTCTACGAGTCAGAAATGACTCGACCGCACTTAACAATAACAAACGTGGCCAGAGTAGTCCTAAAGGACGTTTATATTCGAGAGTTTTGAAGATCATGGCTCGGAAGGATTACAGCCACTTCAATGACTTTTACCTACCAGCAAGTTTCCTTTAGCCCTCACCTCTTCTCTAAATTCTAAATCTTCCAAGCATTTAGCCGCTTGACTCCGGGCCTCATTTTTCTCCTCTCACAATCTCGAACGTGACTTTCCAAAAATGGAAAGTTTCCAGTATGTACACACATTCAGCTTATGTCCTCGGCTGGATAGCCTAGCCCCGTCTCACCTGTGTAGCTAGAGCTCTGGAGTCAGGCTTTCTGATTCCCATCTCCAGATGCCATTTTGGAAATCACTTCTGGGATGGGGTAGTGAGTGCTGGTATTTCTGGGAGACGTTTCACACATTTAATGAAGAGAGTTTGCAATACGCACAAGCCTACAAAGTCCGTACCCAGCGTTCTCACCGCATTCTGCGTAGTAACTTCTAGTTACCACGAAAATCAACAACATTCACCTCTACGTCTTCACCAGAAGCAATCGCAGCCCTTCAGACTCCTCCCGCCTCCGCCTGTCCGCCCAACCTTAAAGGTAGCCTAAAGTGAGCACCCTCGGAGTTGGCTACCTACCCAACACTGGCCTTTCCAATTTAAGATTAAAGGACCCAGCTAGGAACTCGCGCGAGACAAGAGTCCGCATTCTCGCGAGAAATCTAGGAGGCGGCAGTGATGGCGGCGGCGGGAACCGGCCCTGGTCCGGGAGCTAGTGCCGGACCCGGCTCGACAGCAGCCCCAAGTGCAGCTGCTGCGGAAGAGGGAGAGACGAAGTCGGTGGTGGCGGTAGCAGCCGCTCCAACCGGAGAGGGGACGTCTGCTGCTCCAGCAGCAGAGCCCAATTCCGTAGAAGCCGAAAGCGGGTAAGATGTCCTGTAACCAGCGGCGGACTGGGGAAGGAAGGGACACCCCTCTCGGAATCTCCAGGCTCCCGGGAGCTCTTCTGCCCACAACCCTCGAACCTGGGCCAACGGCTTACCCTGCACCCTGCGGGACCGCAATCCCGCCCGCCGGTTGGCCTGTCCTTAGGGACCTGTATCGCGGACTACACCCCTTTCCGCACCTTTCACGGTCAGTGAGAGCTTAGGGCATCTGTCCGCTAGCCTGTCGCCGGCCCCTGTACCCGTATAAGGAACTGGTAGCTCACTCTTCTAGCAGGAACCTCTCAAGCATCTAAGAGAACACATCGTGCAGTGCTAGACTGAAAGGGGTAACGATCCCTCTGAAAACACTGGGAATGCTGCATCTCTGAACTACCCCCAAGAGCAGGTTCGCCCTGTGTAGATTTGTCTGCAAGGTCCAGTTCGTCTTCCCCATACCTAACAGATCTGCGTCTTTCAAATGTCTTGACTGTAACCTCGGCATTCCGTCTTAAGCAGAAAAAGTTCCAGGAGTGTGAATGAAATTTACATGTACTTGATGACTGTCTTTGAAAATAAGCATTTTGAGGTTTCTCATGAAGATTCTTAACGTGACTGCATTTATTATCTTATAGGGATGCAAATTTAGTTGATGTAAGCGGTGGTTTGGAGACAGAATCCTCAAATGGAAAAGATACACTAGTAAGTATTTATGTTTGCCAGGCAAAATAGGGTTTGTTTTGAAATTCTTAAATGAGTCAGGAATACAATGAAGACAACTAAGTTGATTCTCTTAATTGCTCTCTGGACTCAGGAAGGTGCTGGGGATACTTCAGAAGTAATGGATACCCAGGTAGGGTCTGTGGATGAAGAGAATGGCCGACAGTTGGGAGAGGTGGAGCTGCAGTGTGGAATATGTACAAAGTGGTTCACAGCAGACACTTTTGGCATAGATACCTCGTGAGTATTTTTCAAAGTCTTTGTAAGAATTATTCTATAAAACAAATGTCAACATGTTCAACAGTTAAATAATTGGTTTGTAAGCAAGTATAAACACAGTATTTTGCGTACATCTTCTAACCCCTATTCATGTAAGTAGGATGTTGAATTAGGAATTGTTTTCATTCCCTGAGCAGCCTTTTTCTACCTGCGGAGGGCACAGCCCTAACAGGTACTGTGGTAGGTAGTGTCTCTGATATTCAGATTACAATATGGTTGGGAGGCAAATCCATGCATTCTAAAGCATTTTATAAACAAATTTAAGACTGTGTCATTTAAGCCCTATATTGTTGTTAAGTATCAGCTAATCATTTCAAGCTTTATATTAGTGTTAAGTGTTGCTGACTCAGTTCTGATTCTTAGTGACCCCATAAAGGGTTTCCAAGGAGTGACTGGTGAATTTTAATCACCAACCTTGTGGTTAGCAGCCCAGTGATGATCCTACAGCGCTACACCAAGACCCCAACCCTTATATAGTTGTTACACACTGTCTAGTCAGTTCTAACACATAGTGATCCTGTATAGGGTTTCTGAGGAGCAGCTGGTGAGTTTGAACTGCCTACTTTGATGTTCAAACTGACCTTGAGGTCCAGTGCTTATCCTATGGCGCCACACCAGGACTCAAGGCCTTATATTAGGTGTTGTATGTACAGGGTCGGAGTCCTGGTGTGGTGCTGTGGGTTAATGCACCAGACTGCAAAACCGTTTGAACTGCAAGGTTGGCGGTTCAAGCTCACCAACTGCTCCTCAGAAACCCTAAGCAGGGTCACTATGGGTCAGAACCGACTCGACGGCACTTAATAACAACTTATTTGTGGGAAAGTGTTGTTGTATATAGTGGGGAAACCTGTTGTAAAAATTTTGCAATGACCAGTCCCAATTCATGCCTATGTCATCCTATTTATTATCCCTTCCAGCTTCTGATTCACTCCCTTTAGGTATCTTGTGCTCTTCCCTCAGTAAAAACAACTTCCAACCATTTTCATCTCGTAAATTTAAATTGTTTCATGATTAACTGAGATTGAAAGGCTTCTTTCTTTAGTTTAGAGATTTAATCAATAGCTAGCAGGTGTATGGAGTCCTGGTGTGGTGCTGCAGGATAATGCACTGGACTGCAATGTCGGTTTGAACTGCAAGGTCGATGGTTAAAACACACCAGCCACTCCTTGGAAACTCTATACAGGGTCACTGTGGGTCGGAACCAATTGAAGGCACTTACTGACAGCATCAGGTGCACATTATTAATTCACATAAGCACTGGACTGCTAACCTCCAGGTAGGTGGTTGAAACCCACCAGCTGCCCCTTGGAAGCCCTATATAGGATCACTATAACAAGTTCTGTGTAACACTGTATAGAACTTAACAACGACCACACAGGGATGGGATCCTGGTGTGGCACTAAAGAATACTGGACTGTTAACCCCAAGGTTGGTGGTTCAAACCCACTAGCCACTCCTTTGGAAACCTTATATAGGGTTGATATGAGTCATGACTGTCTCCAGGGCACTTAACAACATCAGCAATGATATCCCTCAATCCACTGCCTCTTCTATAATGTCCTTTACTAAGGTACCTGGTGGTCTTCCTCTTTTAGCTAAGAAATTAAAGTGGTTTTTAGAAATGCTAATGTACAATTAACTTGTGACTATTGACGAAGAATGGAGTCCTGGGGTGGTGCTGTGGATTAATGCACCAGACTGCAAAACCATTTGAACTGCAAGGTTGGTGATTCAATCTCTTTGCTATCCCATGCGAGTAAAGTTTTGCTAAAGGTAATACAGAAACGGCTACAATCATACATTGACAGAGAACTTCCAGAGGTTCAAGCCGAATTCAGAAGAGGCCGTGGA